ATACATATAATCAGTTAAAAAACGAGAATTCCAAGATGACAAAAAACTTATTCAAAACTGAAGTGGATACTTCTAATTTTAGTGTTTATAAAATTCTGAACTTTTATTGTTACTATGGGGAATTTCACGAGGATGCCATAGATCAAAAGAAATTGAAAATTTTTTGAAAGAAGCATAAATAATTTTTGTAATTCACATTATGAATTCATTTTAGTTAGAGAACTAATGAGAATTGGTATGCAATGTATAGTTGTTTTACCTTACCATGTAATTCCTTAACAGTATACATCTATGATTCCACCGCGGATAGAATAAAGGACATTTATGTCTCGAGGTGGGTGCTAAACTTATGAATCACTGACCTAGAAACTCATACCACGATGAATAAACTGTCCAGAGTTTCCTGGCTTTCAGTGATTGTCTAAGATTAGTCGGTTATGTAAACTAAGAAAATTCAACAAACTCCATAAACCTCTCTAGTGAAAGTGGGTAATGAACATGTACAATTGGATTCCATTAGTTTAACACCGCTTTTGATTGGGATATTTTGTACAAGTTAATACCACAATAAATTATTTTTTAAGTACATTTTCTCTCTATAAAGACTGATAAAACATTCACAACTCAATAATTTAACTGTTAATACACATCACGTAAATTTCCAACTTTTTATTCCTGGAATCTAAGTCATATTTGCGCAATCCAAAATCATATAATTATATAAATGGAGAGAGATAACTAGAAATCCCATCGAGAAAATCAGTTTATTATTTATTTTATAGGTGTACACAAAAGAATTACATTGAAATTACGAACCGATCTAAGTTATACAACCATTGCAAAAACCTGAGGACACTGGATGATTGGCTCATCCTACTATGGGACCTATGGTCTCGCATGAGAACGCTTAACTCCTAGACCATTGAGCTGGTGTCCAACAGTGGATAAGTCTAACCACAATCTAATCCACGTTACCGTCTTCAAAATATTATTTTCATTGTATACTCTCAGAAACTCTTTAGAGTGTCTAGATCAAATTCAAGACAATTTATTGCTGAATAAATAAGCACTGTTCCTCTTCAATTTCCCTATTTATATTAAAATATGTACAGAAATTAAAGAGGAAAAACTAAAGGATAATAAATTTGTAATTTCAGTAAAAAAAATAATGATTATTTCAAGATTTCTTATTCATTCACAATTGACACAAAGAAAGAGATCTATCTACAGTATTATTAAACAAGTAAAGACTATGCAGCGAAAAAAACATTGTATATATTAATGCCATTTATTAAAACAGAAAAATCGTATTCACATTCATTTAATATATTTATAGATTAGTAGTTTATTGGAAAAATAGAATACGATTACGCAACAAACTAATTGGGAGTGTGAAATATTAAAATGGAAGCTAAATAGTGATTTAAAGGTTAAAAAAAGAAAATATATAGTTATTGGATCAAAAGTAACCTATGGAAGACAATGAACCTTTTCAAGTTTTTCACAGATTGAAATCATGAGTCAATTGAAGCTAGATCACCATGGAAAACCTGGAACCACTGGACGGCCGTTTCGTCCTACTATGGGACCCCTCAGCAGTGCGCATCCACGATACGAACGCAGGACCTACCAGTCTCACGTCAGGCGCTTAACCAACTAGACCAGAGCCGGCATCCAATGGTTTTAATGTCTAACTTCAACCAATCCACAAAGTTGCGCCACTATACACCAATGTCTTCAGTGAGCTGATATCTCACAACAGACCTGGTTGTCATCATTGAATTGTTTTACTCCTTAATTATTAAATTTACATCAGTCTAACATTATTTTCAGCTGGATATTTTTCATATCTATATATGATAAATAAACATTTGGAAAATAGATATATATACTGTAGTGAACGCAGACTTGGTGAGGATGACCAATTTATTGTTTAGCGCAAAATTACCCAGTGCCTTCGTAAAATATGAAAATCATACATTAAAATCATTATTTGCACATCTTCCATCAGTTGTCCATTACATACTTCATAAATATTCCAATTGTATTGCTCTGTTTCCATTCCTGTTCTCTTCAATTTAATTTTCTGCTCGCAGACATTCCACTTCCGATCGCTGATACATACTACTTATATCTGTCAGCATATGCAGCACATATCATATACTAATATAATATGTCAAGGAGTGATGATTATGTCTCCAAATATTTTAGTTGAAATCATGAACCGATCAGTGTTAGACAACCATTTAGAACCTGGAAGCACTGGAAGGCCATTTCGTCCTGGTATGCAACTCTTCAGCAGTACGCACCCACGATCAGGCGCATGAGACTCGGTTCATAGATTGAATGCTGTAGGTAATGGATATGGATAGCTTTTAAAAAAAAGAGGTAATTCTCACTTGCTGTCGATTAGGTTAATTTTTTATCATATTTAATAAGATTCCGATAACAGTCCTCAGAGTAAACTCATTACTTCAGAAAATGTATTAAATCAATACAACCCTTATGCTACCCCTCATCAGACATGTCAAGAAAAAAAACTTTCACCAAACTTATCAGATGATCGTTACGCTATATCATCACAAATGAGTTGAAATTATACCCATAAGTTCTAATCATTAAACATTCATCATGATATGTGAAGCTCCCGGACTCTATTCTTAATGAGCTCGTGGTCACGTATCGTTGATGAGTCACATTGTAGGACGAGGTATCTGTTTACCGTCGTTTGATTTACAATAATATTACAAATGAGATCAATCTATGATAAATACATCATACAAATATAAGCACGTCAATAAACAGATACCAAAAACAAAACATTTATGATACACAAAAAAAACAATATTACAATTAGTAATGGGAGAAAACATTAAATATGTCAAAATTCTTCAATGTGTTCTTGTGTGTTTTTTCTTTCTGTATTGATACATAGTGAAATTATGCTACTGCATGTGAAACTATATTTATTTACAGAAAGTTGATCAGCGAAAAAAAGTGTAAGAATACAAAATAAATCAATAGATCAGGTGAATCTCAAAAGTAGTAAACGAATAAATAAAACAGGTAGGGAACACACACACACAGAAACAAAAGGTAATACATGCCTCTTATTATGTATATATGTAAATTGATAATAGTTAAAGTATTTACATTTCATCAGATTTTAGATAAATCAATGACAAAATAGAAAATGAAAACTGCTAGGATAAATGAAAGAAAAAAAAAGAAAGATTGTGTATGTACTGTAAAATTGAATGTGTTTGTCGAATACAAAAGAAAAAGGACACAATTATAAGAGACTTTAAGTATGTTACATGTAATTCATTCTTTTCTTTTTATAATATGATGAATAGATAAATTTGGAGTATAGTTAAACAAGTTGATACTTGTGAGATACTAATTCAACATACATATATGATTATATTTGGCAATATAAACCCCAATTTAGAACAGTGAAAGAAATTACAATTAAGATCTATAAATGGTGAGACCTTTGAGTAATACTTAGGTGATTTTGAGAATGTCCACCTACTTACTATGATTAAATGAGGTTTGTAAATTAGTGTAAGGAATTTGGATTAGGACGTTAAGGCTTAGGAATTAGAATTAACGTTTTCATCACGAACTGACATCGACTATAATTCCAAAATTGTATTTAGTTATATGGACATATAAATTTCGGGCCATAATCTAAGATATGCTATCTTAATTCTGACTAGTTCATCTCAAAATTATAGTCTCGACGTAATTATGAATTGTTGTGGGATTAATTAAAAGATTAATGTGAATCGGTGTTCGATTATCTTGTCCCAAGGATTAATTAAATAAACTACTTGATAGTATGAGTTCGGAAAGTCCTCTTACACAATTAACTATTAACAGTTGTCAAGTAAGAATCAAGAGGTAAATACTAGAACAAGTTAAGTAGAAATAATAAGATGAGAAATACGAACTAAAGAATGACAAGAAAGTAGTAAAATGTTATAGTCTATTAAATAAAATATTGAATAAACGCATAGGGTATGTTGATGTCCAATGTAATGAAAATGATTGAGTAAATTTCTTTTAAAAATAGAATGGAATAGTAATTAAGATACTGGACTCTCTATTAATAAGTCAAAGATGCCAACTCAACTTCACCCAACTTTAGTCTGGACAGATGAATAGTATCACTATCCCTCACACAATCAATGTGCCAGAGAGTTGGGAACAAAATTGCACATATCAAATGTGTTATATTATCTATATAGTAAAAGTAAACGTAAATCATGCGCAAAACTACGTGGAATATGATAAAAACCACTCTCGGAAAAGTTTCTTCTGGTCAATATTTACCTACATCACTAAAATATCATACTACGCTATAAATTTACAGTCGTTGAACGGATTGTATATGTAAACACGGCTTCATCTACTTCGAACTAGAAAATCCTGATAAGACTATTGTGTCTAGCACATTAATTATAACTTACAGACAAGCATATGAGGAAATCCAAGGAGTTAACCAAAAGGTTTTTTCAGTATTTTGCTAATAAACTTATAACAAACTTATCTATTCTTATGTAAAAAAGGTATTTTTAGAGACAGAAGTATAGAGCACTGATCTTGATCATGTACACTACTGTTAAACAAATACCATACTGAAGTTTCAAGCTGATATAATATTGTTGGATACTGACATAATGAACATTGAACCAAGAAATATTTGTATCATTTCTGTCTTGGTTATTGAGTAATTGATATATTTTTCCCTGTGTTATGAAATTTCTCAATTCAATGATTATAAAAACCTTCTAAATGTATTATTTGATTTAACATTTTAATTATTCGAATTACTTAATACAAATGTAAATTAACCATGTGTGACATTGAGTAGTATCCTAGTAAAAATACTACATCATATCCCTAGTGAACATAAATGGAATTATTTATAATTTAAATGATTTTTTTTTAAAAAGACAGTCAAATATTTATGATAATTTATTGATATAACTTACTTTGCTTAGAATAATTTCAGGAGCTAAATATTCTGGTGTACCGCATAGAGTCCATGTTCTCCCTTTCACACGTTTAGCAAAACCAAAATCCGTTATCTGTAAACAATATTAATGGAAATTACAGAAAATATAGAAAAAAAATACATTCAATTAACTTTATTAAGAGATTAAACAAATAAATATCAAAAGTGGTTTTTGCGTATATTATAGTAATTTCAATGGTTGAGATCGCAAGTCAACTGAAGCTAGACCACCATGGAAAACCTGGAATCACTGGACGAGCGTTTCGTCCTATTGCGGGACTCCTCAGCAGAGTGCACTGCTGAGTAGCTAAGTAGTTAGAGTATTTAACATTCATAACCAATAATGTCACAGATTTAAGTTGTGTTTAGACTAATTCGATTTGTACAATCAGCTATTATCAATAATCCTCACACATATAGTTATAAATTAAAGCTGAATACATATATACATTGATAAGTTGGAAAAAGTGGTAAGATCATCATCATCATCAAAATATTAAAAATATTTCTATAATTGTGGTTACTTCTCTTGAATAAAATCAAATTTTTCTTTTAGTCTATTATAACGCCACTGTACTTAAGGTATTGTTTTCATTAATTACTCTATGTGATTCTAGGGTATCTAAATCAACACCTAGGCAATTTACTGTTGAATAACTATGAATCGTTTTTTTCCTTACCATTCCCCCATCTATTCTAAAATCGAGAGAAACATGCAATATCATTCACAAAATAAATTCCATCATGTTGGACAAGTAGACATATTAGCGAATACCGACTAGCAGTGAAATAACACGATATGTTACCATTGACAACAATCCATACAGACAAATTAGATTCAGAAAACGTCAAAGTTCTGGATCAAAAAAGATTATTAAATAATGTCTAGAACCATGGCATTTAGGTCAATCTCCAATCAATAAACATATCGAAAAAGAATCAGTCAATCAATCAATCCCAAAAGGAAAAAGTTAATTAATCACATGATTGAAAGTCAACCGTAAACCATAATTAATAGAAATCCTTAGTAGATTAGAACATTAAAACTTGAAATAACAAACCGATTTACAAACAAATTAATCAGAACGAACTAATTCAGCGTTTAATGCAGAATGAATTAAATTATATGACTCAGTGAACAAAGAATGTCCGTAAAAAAGAACAAGACGATACATAGAGAACAGGAGATTGGTACTAGCTAATCTCGCTAATAAGAAAAAATACACGCCATTCAAAATGCCGACCAATTAATAAGCATTAAAAAGTTATAACTGAGTGATCCTCGGGAAAAAAGAAACAACTTTTCGTTAGTTTACGCTTCACATAACATCATTATGGTTCACATACAGTTCTTCTGTTGTATCATGATCTCTCCTATATTTTGCTCAAGATTAAGTGAATTAATTTAATAAATAAACAATTTTGTCGTTATATCTAACTTATTTCTAAAACTTCTTATTGTTTAACGAGAAGTTGTGCAAAATAATGTTGGTTTCCACTATGAAACAGAATAGCTTTTTGAGAACCGTTCAGCTCTAGACAGATTTTTCATATAATTAAAAGGTTCCTCAAGAATACCATCTCTACAACAATACAAAGAATAGCATACAGTGTCTACAATTCTAACGGCAAGCACGAAACCGTTTGATAATTGAGTTGGAATTCAATAGTCTACATTTCAAATTCTTGTCTATCAACAAAACGACTATACTGCATAAATCGTTTAATGAATACAAATTAAATATCAACTTTAAGTCCTCATTAAGAAAAGGATCGCAGAAACATTTTCACAGATATATATCTAGGAAAAGTTAGATGTGGTCTTCTTTCAAGTTTCCTTCACAATAAATAACACCAAAAAACGGTCATTTACGCCCATAAAACACCGCGTAGATGTTTTATTTTAAGACGAGACTTGTTATCAGCAGTATGAATTCTGTGTTTACTGTGTAGAAACTTGAAATATTAGTTTTATTGTGATATTATTTTATCCATTGAAGATAACATTCATTGACTACGATAATCCATCTTTACTCGATTATCATAATGAAGAACACTGACTACGAACGTCACTCTCATGAATTTTTATCCCTATTACACTACCTATTGGAAAACTGAACACCACCTAATACCTCGATGAGCGATATGTACTAGTGTTGAATTAAGTTGGAAGAAAGCCCAGAGGTAGCCTAAATCAAGAAATGATATCATGGCATGAAATTATTGACGATTAGTTTAAAATATATTGATATATGTAGTTTACCTGGTTAAGGTCAGCGAGATGATTGTGACCAATCAATGAAAATTTCAAGTAACATAACTTAAAATCACTTACAATCACTTAGATGGATTCACTCTGTATGCTCTTCTTGATCTTGAATTCGTGTATTCCTTCATACATACCTTTTCATCCTACCACATCAAACCGAATATTTAGTACCTTTTTTCAATTTGCATTACTGCTACATTCTTTTCAATCTTTCACCATTCATCTTATTAATTTCATCTATGTATGTTTATATGTTACAGGAACTTTGAACAATACACATCTGTTAGGTTTTACGTTGATGATGATCTATTGAGATTCTCACCATTGATTATAAGAAACATTATATGACATTTAGTTTATATAACTGAAACGATAAATATTATTTTCATGAGTCGATAGTTTCTATGTAGCATTTTCCTGATATCAATAGACATTTTCTTTATTTAATTTTATAGGACAATAATTTTACAAGATGTCAGAAGTAAACACATTGATAAAATAAGTCACTATTTTTTATCAGTTACATCATCAGATCAATTAATTTATAAATGAATATTCATTAATTGGTTAAAAATAGTCAAAGCTGAATTCACGAGTCAATCTGAGCTAGACCACCATTAAAAACGTGGAAACACTGGACGGTTGTTTCGTTCTAGTATGGGACTCCTCAGCAGTGGGCATCCACGATCTCCACAAATTCTCAAAATTAAAAATAGTCGACAAGTGATGTTTCAACTCGACTTACAGAATCCAATTATCAGTGTGAATTAAATAAACTTGGCATTGGCCATTAGTCTACTTAATGATCAACCAATGTAAACAGATATTAACAGTCATTATAATAGTCCTGGTATTTATTATAAGTCGATATTTTCAAAATTTCAACTAATTTTATGAAACCTTCCAAAACAATATTCTGACAATCAATCATTTCTTCATGAGACCACAGTTACGTTTTTTTAAGTTTGTTTCCTTCCTTCTTTTTTACTGTCAACCACACTTTGTTAGTTGTAACTAGAACTGACATCCCGTACATCAAATAGTAATATATATAGGCGTGAATAAATATTGTCTCATACTGCCAACACTTATTTGCTTTACTACATTCAAACGAAAAGCAAATGAAGATAACAGTAGCAGTAGTAGTCTGTAGCAAGTAGTGAAAGAATCATTAGTATTTGTTTCCATTTCTATCAATACAAATTGTCAGATAAATGTGTATGATAGTATTAGTAGTAATGGAATCAATAAGTAATTATGCTAACCACGTTTTATAGTTTCAAGTCTCGTTATATCAGAGAACCATTAAGAATATTGTACTATGATGTAATCAATTCATCAGTCAATTTGCGTTAGACAATTACAAACTGAAACATACATATGTACATACAGGGAGTACATAAACTACAAACACACACAGAGAGCGAAGAACAACAACCACTACTTAAGTAAACTAAAGTGACAAAAAGGCAGAAAACAGTCTAACATTTTTATCCATTACCACCCAACTAAAAATGGTAATAACAATAATACAAATAGCAAGATAACGTAGACGTGAAGTGTAAAAAATAGTCCTAGAAGGAGAAATTAAAGATTTATTTGGTATTTTATTTCCGTAAAATGGAATACTAGACGGATCAATAATGAAATTCTAGTAAGAATCTTAGGGCAGTGGATCAATAACCAATTAATCCACGTTATCTGTAAGATATAATGCAAAACTTAAGTGGATGTTGTGATTTATTGTGTGGTTAAGCCATTCAATTTTTGACCATCAGGTTGTAGGTTGTAAAACCCCGCTTCGTCTATTTCATTTCAAGTAGTAAAACGCCAGTTCTAGTAGAGAAACTGAGAATCGAGTTTGTAAAGTAATCAGAATCCTTAGATAATTCCTCGAAAAAACTTACTGTGTTGTTAATATCCGACTAGACTATTATTCCAAGTTTTACACATTTTGGCTTCCAATAGCTTAAGGTCATACATGTTCACGTAAATACCCTTATTTTTGTACATAAACTAATTTCCCACACTTCGCTCCTCTTGTTTTTCTGTTCAAAGTTCAAGAGTAGAAGACTTTTGAGGATGAGGAAGCGGTTAGACGGCCGGTTTTTAAACGTGTTCAAGTATAAGATGTATGAAAAATAAATTTGCGATTGGAAAATGAGTGATCAGTTTAAATTTAACTTAAATTGAAAGATATTAGACCGACACAAGGGTTTACCTAATCTCAAATAACTCTCAATATAGATCATGTATCATATAATCAAATGCAAAAGAAACACTTCCGCGTTATTTATCTACAATTAAATAAGAAAGAAGACGATCTTCAGAGTCTAAAAACTGTATCCAATACATGTGGTATAGAAAGATGTCTTGAATTAATACTCAATTTTGACTTCAAACGAATTATCTGTTACCGATCAAATTCAAGGAGGTAAGAGCAAATTTAGTGGTTGGACAAAGAGATTTGCACAACAGAACCAATATTAATAAACCAAGGATAAATATACTCTTTCATACCGTCTTATTTAACGTTTCTATTATCTAGTCAATTTATCCATGCAATTAAACAATAAAGTTTTAATAAATACAGTAATTTACCCTACCCTGTTTTTAAATGCACGATATAAAAATAGTGTTAATTAATACCTTCCAATACTGATTCCTGATATCTAAGAAACCGAATAAAAAATATTGTATGAAAGTTACCTATATTACTACTACACTAGTAAAAACATTATCAAGATCATCAAAAATGGTGCAGTCGCGTTGGCTGTTTCACAATGGTATTTGTTCAAAGACCTATCCATCTCACCTACAAATCTGTCTAACATTACTACTGCTAACCATAAATTACAAGAGTAGTTTTAATTAGAGTTGGGCAGTGGGTAGCAGTGAAATCCAGTTTGATGCGTGTTTCGCCATACTTGGGACACTTCAGTTGAATATACCTGTACCCAATTGATAACGTTCTTACCAAGGGTCGAACTCAAAAACTTTCAAATTAAAAAACCAACGAGTTTGAGACAGAATAAAACGTATGTCCAAGATTCCACTGTTAGCCACTGAATGACAATATAGAGGGAATTTACACAGAATACATAAATGTCAAAAAGAGACTGATCCATTTTTTGAACCTTGACATCAACAACGGCAAGAAACAAATACCTCCAAGAGTAGATTTTTTAAGAAAATAACCACAAAGCTTAATGTAAAATATTTAATGAATATATAATTGATTTGAAAATAATTTGGTTGATAGCAGTCTAAAAATTGAAGTGTTAAACAACTGTTAATAGGATGCATCGTTTTACTGTGAGTTCGAGTCACATATTGCTGGCATGGAATTGATTTTTTTTAAACAACACTAGTTTTAATAATTGGGTTGTAGAACGTTGTCTACTTAATTCATTTACATTTATATATGACATTAAGAATGGTGTATTTTGTAAATAACATACAAATGTAGATGGTATTAATCATATACCTAAAAAGCTATAAACCAGATGAGTTAAGAAGCAGAATCATATTGTTATTGTTGGATTAAGAAAAAGGGTGTTTACTTTATAATCAGAAATCTTAAATCAATGTTAATATAAACATTATAAGCAGAGATGGATGGTAGATAGCAGTGGAATTCAGGACGCGCGTCTCGTCCTACTTGAAAATCGTCAGTTGGGTGTACCTGCAACCCAGAGTTGATGTTCACTCCAGGACTCCAACCAAGTACAGTTCGCTTGAAACACCATCACGATATCCATTTAGCTATTGATTACATATAGCCACTAGCCTGTGCAATGGGTTAAAGTTTAATTCATTTTTGTATTATTTGTCTGAATCTTCCCACTGACGTTTCAAATGTTAGCTTAAATTTTCTTGTTACAAAGTAAAGGGATAATGTACTCAACTTTAAGCCATATTGTTCATATGACTAGTGAGGTTATTACGAGGTTCGAACTGTCAATTTATTAGTTGAATATGAAAAGCACTTAAATCGCTTAACCACTGTTCCATCAATAAAATGAAATCGTGTTAGTTTCCGTTGTTGTCACTTAACTGTCCAGTGATTTTTTTCTCAGCTTTTATGACTATAACTAACTCATGATCTTAACTACTGAAATTAATACAATCTTCACAAAAAATTATTGGTCAACATGTCAAATAAATAATAAATAAATATAACACATTGGTCAAGTACAATCTTTTTCTTATGATCAACTTTCAGTCACACAACTGGTTCAGATCAAAATAGAAAAAGTGAAATTCAATCATTTCCAATTAAATAGTGGAATATTGGAGTAAATTTAAACGATATTATCAACATGAATAAACAAAAAAGCAAACCAATTGAAAATACCTTTAAATATCCATATTGATCGATAAGAATGTTTTCCGGTTTCAAATCTCTGTAGACTAATTCTAAATGATGTAGATATTCAAACGCCAACACCACTTGACTAGCATAGAATCGTGAATGACTTTCACTGTATACATGGGGAAATTAAAGAGAAATAATTGAAAGAAAATTCAGTAAAAAGATATACTCGTAGGATTTTTGATTATGATCAAAAACAGTACATAATGTTGAGTAATCTAAATTTAAGAAAATCTTTAAAAAAACGATTCTTTAAATTGTTGAATGATAGGATTCGATCTCATTGACTGATAACTTGGATTCCAAGTAACCTGTTTTGACATTTAATTTATCGTTTTAACACTATGTACATACGTATGCTACTGTTATTCCAGATCATGGAGTCTAGTTTCAAACGTTTATTGGAAATAAGCCTATAAAATTGAATTTCACGTGTTTTACAGTTACCTTAGCGACTGATACATTCATTGCATATTAGTCTAATTTATTTAAAAAGATGAAAATATTATGGATAAATTCACGAGAACAAGTTAAGTATCTGGGTAACACAGTATGAATGAAATTAGATCAAACAGGAAGACAATCAAAATAAATGTGCAAACAATAAAAGAACAAATTTTTGGCGAAAAAAACCCAAGTCAAATTTGATGCAGACAAAACAATTTGTAAGAAAATTGTAACATTTCACTTCAATCTAAAATTTGTCTCGATAGAGTTGTTTAGCAAGACAATGAAAGCTTCTTGATTAAATTTAGAGAATTGAACTCCACCAGAATCATTCAATTGATCTATAAATCTTTTTCGTCAATGTAATCATTTGTAATTCTCTAAATCTTGGGCATTTCACCTCCCTACATTGATTTACCATATTGTGATAGACATTTTGTTTATTATATTGCCCTTTGATTCTTCTAGTTTTCAGTCGTTGAAAAATGTGCGAATACAAACAGACAGATTTTAATTTATCATTTCGAATGATATATCATAATATAGCTAAATAGCTTATGGAAATTTGTATAATATAAGGTTGTTTTTTCATCACAGATGAAGATTATCTAGGAGACCAGTGAAAGGTAAAAACCGGTGAACAGCTATACATACATATGATGTCACCAGCAATTAAACCCTATAGTCATTATGTCACAATATGAGCTTGTCTTTTAAAACTTTAAAGTTCAATCATCAACCAAATTTTTAACTTAAGCCATTTCATATTGGTTAAGGTATCGCAAATTTAACTGAAATATCCATGAATATAATGGTCTAGTTATTCGTTTGACACTCATTTATATTACTCATATAAAAGTACCCGCTGTAAATACAGACAGACACAAAAAGAAATCAAGCATTCTAAAACAATAAAAAATGATTTACAAAAACAATCCAAAAAGCAATTCTATACAGATACCTATAACAGTTCTAATCCATTGGTGAAACTTAACACTTTATTATTTTTTTTAAAAATTACTTATCAAAACAAATACGTTAAAACAGTCACACGTCATGCATTTTTAGTGAAAATGAATAACATTTTCCATTTATAGAAAAATTCAGGGAGATAAATTTGTCATAGATTCGTTGCAATTTGATTCAAACGATAAATCATGTAATATAACTGGAAGTTTCTACGGACTACCATATATATATACGATCATTTTATAATATACCCCGCCAGAATCAAATAACTTATTGAAATGTATTGTTCTTCCATGAACAGAATTCCTTAGCTTCTAAATGAAACATAATTTATCACTAAATAGTAAACACTAGAGCTTACACAGTGATTAATTTACTTTACATGTTAGTATAATGTCCAAAAATAGTTCATAATTCGAATAAACATGTAAGTTGAATGATACTTTGAGTTTGTTTATTTCATCTTGATTCGGCTGCCTGCTTGAGCATCTGGACTACCTGTTCCTGCCATCTAGATATTTCAACAAGTTACCTATTTTTGTTTGTTTTAATATATCATTTTGTCTATTAATCGCATAACCTATCCTGGTGCATTTCTGAAAAGTGAACAACCTTTCGTTGTCAAAGTTACAAAAAGCCCAATAAGAGATAATGTGGTCGCTGGCAATATGCAGAGAAAAGAATATACATTGTTCAGATGTTCATTTACTGGACTGCTAACATCTATCTGGCGATCACTCAATATTTATCGTCAGGATCGACCAAGAAGAAAGAAACGGAAACTTGTTGAAATACTTTGTGCTGAGAATTCTATATTGTACCAAAAATATAATATTGAATAAAACTGATAATAATAATAATAATAATAATAATAATAATAATTCATGGGATCTGATAATGATCATATGAACAAGTGCATATAAGTTAGTTCATATATATATTGGTTGTTTGAATCTTCTCATAGTTGTTTAAGACTGTAATCGATCAGTCTCTTTTAACATATATGCATCACGTGGGGATTGCCTCGATATTCCTATTAAGTCACCAACATTTTTAAACAGAAATAGATAGTGGCTGGCAATAGAATCCAGAACTTAGTAGCTAAATGGATAACGCGATGGCTTTTGAAATGAACGGTACAGAATTCGAACCTCGGTGTGAACATAAACTGTGGAATCCAGATACATCCAGCCGACAAGTCCCGAGAAAGACGAAACGCGCGTATTGGATTCCATTGCTATCCACTATCCATCTCCGCTTTAAAATCCATTCAGGTTAGCTCATACTTCCGCATATCAGTCCAACAAAAATCAATGAGAATTCATGGACTACTGTCACATAACACGATTGATATTACCTGTGATCTACTTTCTCACATTTAGCTGTATATATAACACTGCTGCGCTTATTCTTAGATATACTTTAAGTAAAACGAAAACTGATTATCAAATAAATCATTAAATCATAGAATATTATACGTAATTTTGAAACACTAAGAAATTAAATCACACGACAACAATCTAATATATATGATAGAGGCGACCTGTTTGAATATCTGGGCTACCTGTTCCTGCCATCTGGATATTTCAACAAGTTATATTTTCGCATGTTTGTTTTAGCACATCATTATGTCTATTAGTATCATAACCCATTCAAGTTTAAGATATTTTGCTGTACAAGTTACGAAAGAGCCCAATTAGAGACAATATGCATCGAAAATAATATACATGTAGAGTCCTGAACTGATAACATCTAACTGGCGACCACTCAATGTTTATCGCAAGAATCGATCAAGAAAAGGAAACCTATTGAAATAATTTGTACTGAGAATCCTATATTGTACCAAAAATATAATATTAAATAAAGCCAATAATAATAATAATAGTCGAATAAATATGGTGACAACGCAACATGAAATCTCAAGCTAAACATATGAAGAAATTTAAGTCAATTCATGAAGTGCTATGAACTATGCACAAAGATAAAGCATTGAAAAAATAAGCTTTACAAATGGATCAATCATTTCTGTGAGGAGCTGGACGTATTAGGATAATCAACCTGTGAATTCACTAGTGATCATAAGAGAATGTCTGGTCAATAATTCGATCATTACATTAGATCACCCTACCTAATAATTGGATATAGCTTCCTAAGCTTTTCAATTGCTTTAAAAAGGCACATAACGGTCATAAGGACGCAGCTTTAGTAGATAATGGAGATAATAAAACATGAAACAAAGATGAGGAAAATGAGATTTTTGAATTTTAAGGACATCTAAGGATGTCTTAAATCATGGACACTGAAATTTTGAAGAGAATAAAACCTACGTGCCTTAGGTTTTTCAAAATAATTGACCTCACTTCTCATACTTATTGAACAGAGCAGTATCAGGAACTTGATGTGTGGGTGAGAAGTATAATGATTGGTTCTTTGCTTAGTCAGACTAGTAGATAGTCTGACAAGTACTAAATGAGTTATATATTCTCCTGCCCCTACTATCACTATGACTGTTGCCGGTTTTCGGAGTGGAAATATACTTACGTTCTAGTCGGTTTAGTAACGTGTTCTTGATTTGAGTTGTATTGGACCCCTGTAGAATAGACACTGGGAGGGTATTTAGTGTAGAGATATGTCTAAGGCAAAATAGCGTCTCATTCGTGTAGACGAGGAAAACTGAGCTTTATAATAGAACTTTTACAGTATTACGATAATAAAATATATGAAACTCAAAATTATGATAAAAAACACAAAAATAATTTTTATTATGAAAAAGTGTACACGGAAAAACTC